AAAAACCATGCTATGATACACTATTTGCAAAATGTTCTTCAATTGCCTCAGGCTTCATTGTTCCTGGATTTCCACACAAATTCCTTGCTTATTCTGTTCTTCTCTTCTTGATCTTCTCAATCTTCTGCTGTCAGATATTCTATTCCTTACTCAATATATATACTACTTATGTCGATATCAGTAGCTCACACCACAATGCAAGTAACTCACACGACAGTTTAACCTCTCAAATGAACCTAACTGCTATTGAATCTGGTCTAGAACTGTATCAGACTGCTTAGTCTTGAACATTGCTGATGGACTTATCTTCAGGCAATGAAAAACCAACATTTCAATACGAAGATTTATGGCAATATATGTTTTACGAGAACCAGAGAAGATAGCCAAATGGAATCAAGAAAGTGCAAGTCAAACCAAAAAACAAGTGCGTAGATATTCAATTTACCATCTAACAAAATCTTTCTTCTTTAAGAGTTCAATTGTATGTTCATGAATATATGAAATGAAGTTACTACCCTATTTTATGTCCACATTTTCGATTCCTGGCAGATATCTCAAGTAAATGTGTTTGCTTATATTATTAGTTTAACAAACGATACTCTATTCAGTAAGTTGTCATTGTAGTCTGAAAAGGTGACGAACTCACTTTACTTCAACTCCATATAATTATCATTCCAGTCACTATAATTAATTTCAATTGTATTCCTGAAGAATCAAAAACTGAGAACTATTTTTTTATGTTTCATTATTTCGATCTTTCTAATTTTTCCACTGCAAATTTAACAAATAAATTGCGATATTACTAGCTAAGTATTATGATTTGATCTAGACTACCAAACAGCAGATAGTATGGATTATTAATTTTCAAACAAACTGAATGCAGTCGGTATTGTTTAATGGTTGAGTTGATCAAATCAAAATATTCATCATAAAAGTGCCAGCAACCTAGGACAAACAAATATTAGCTCAATGATAATATGGACAAAAGAAACAAAATATACACTATAGACAAGCTCTTAGAAAAACCTTGTAAGTAGAATGAGTTGTGCTAGAGTCTTCAACCCACGATATCACATACTAAATTCACCATTCAGGACTCCGATCCTAATTTTTATTCCGTCTATAGCCTAATATCATGCACATGTCAAATAATACTTTCAGACCGGTACAATTAACCTTGAGCAATAATAAACTACACTCCTGTTGGTCCACTTATCCTTAAGCCTTTCTCTATTCCCAGAGTCGAGTCAGATGGAAAGTCTGCATATAAGCCTCTATGGTTATCACATTTTATTCACCAAGTCCAACACATTACATATCTCAAACACTCATTAACTTATATACACGAATTATCATACCTCTGGAGTACATGAAATAAGAAATCATACCATAAGTGACAAAGAACGAAGCATTCAGTATATAATAGATTAGTAATAATTAAGAGATAGAAAAAGCATAACAATAACTAGTAGGTTAACTTGAAAATTACAAAAGGGAGAATATAAAAATACAGTGATACAGCATCGACTAACTATACAATTAAAATATAAATGATAATAAACTGAAAAATAGGTACAAACGTTTTAGCTTTTCCAGAACACGTCCCATTATAACAGTATGTTTATTTTATATTTTGATTCTGAGAAAATTTCAGGAGTTTGTTATTTTTCATGATGTTTTTTATCAAATTTTCTCCTATGGATCTTACAGAGAAAGTCTTGCCAATCTATAAAGAACCTGCGAAAGTGAATTAACAATTCTAACTACGAGAAAAGAAAAAAATTCTTGCTACGGTAGTCCATTATGATCATCATTAATTGACATTTTTAGGCATATGGTGGAAAGCTGTCCGAAGACCTGATATTTCTCTATAAGAGATATATGGATAACATCTTAGTTATTTACGAGAAAAAGGAGCACATGAATTTTTTATTAAATAAACTTAACACTTATCAAAACGACATCAGACTTCCATATGAAGTAGAGAAAAACAACCAGATTCCTTTTTTTGCACTTATAAGTAGAATAGAAGGTGGTTCAATCAAACGATCTATCTTTAGAAAACCAAGGCCAATATCTTAGTAGTCATAGCATTTGCCCAGTTTAATGCAAACGGAACTTGATATAGGGCCTATTAGATGAGATTGGTCGTATTCGTACAAACGATACCACTGATGACCAGGTGAGGTGACTGAACAAAACATTGATGGAGAATGGTTATCCTATAAAATTCATAATCTATAGAAAGGTCACAGTACAATGAGACACAATACATTTTCGGTACAGAAAATCCTGTTTACATCACATTACCCATTCAAAGACGAGTCAAATAGCTTTGTGTTGAAACAGGTCCAAATCGGTTGTCAGTAAAACGTACTATACAGTAAAAACCATTATTTTTGGAAAAATAAGGTCCATGCTTCACCGAAAACCTAAACGGCATGCAAACGGTTGCGTTACACTCCACTGTGTTTATTAATTTTATGTGTATGTGACCACATACATAGGGAAGTGTAATAGTGTTTTACAAATCAGGGTGTCTGAACATATATCTAAATGTATACGTACAGTTTGACAGAAATTGGGCGCCAATTGTTGAGACATTCTTTGTGAAAATTATATTTAAAACAACCTCGACATAATCAGATGCTGACTCAGTGTTCTAGAGGTTGGGCGTTCGCGCTCGAGACTGAAGGTCTTGGGTTCGAGTCCCGCGTACGTGAACGTAGGTACGCAATGCTAAGGAGTCCCACAGTAGGACGAAACGGCCGTTCAGTGTTTCTAGGTTTTCAATGGTGGTCTAACATTGATACGCTTATGATTTCAACCCAAAATTGAAATCATCAAAAAATGCATCATATGTTAGCAATCAAGTCCTTATTGTGCTTTTCTAATCATATTCAGATATTGACTTGTCATGTAGGATTATCTGGGTCAATTGGATATAAATCACGTTAAAAATTCACAATATAAAATTAGATGAATGAGTGATCGTGTGTATGCATATGCGTATATGGTATTAGGTATTAATTAATTTATTTATTAAAAGCAAAATAAAAGTGCAAATAGAAGCTTCAAAATGTGAAAACGAACAAAATTGAACAACCCAGTAAGAGTAGATGATAAATATATATCGTCCTATTTGGATTAACACAGTTGAAACAGGTCATAAGGTCGATCCTTACTCAGCTTTTGTTCAATGGCTCATACTACGGTTTATTGTAGCCTTGGCGATAAAAAAACTCAAAACCCCTTTTATGTGTTCGAGATCAGTTTGTTCTCACCCTTAACCTACCTTGATAAGATTGTTTTACTATTCAGCATAGTGAGTTTTACATTGTTTTCAACATTTTTCCTACAATTGTCGTTTTCTCTTAACTTCTATTTGTCTAGTCGACCTTTTAAATTTTTATATGTAAGTGTTCTTAACGGGTATGTGTATGATCAGATTGTTCGAAATTTATTGCGTTAATACACTACAGTCCTGACAGTCTTCAACCTCTCAATAATGTAAGACTATCAACTAATTTGTTCATCCAGTCTTTGTTGTGTGAAAACTTAACACAGTATCTTGTCCGTTTATATGGTGTAAAGGAAGATAATTATTCCTTATCGCTCAAAATAGGAGTAAACCGCGATGTAGTGTATTGAGTTAACGTTAGTAGGTACAGATTTTCAAATGTTTGCATTAATTTCTTGCTAATTTTATTTCTAATCGCACTAACAATTTAGTGGTATGGAATCAGTTGTCTGTCTCCTGTTCTACAGGAATACCTCACTTGATATCCCCTTAATGTTTCATCCAATTTAGCATAATCCTTTCCGAAATGTCCAGGAAATAATAAAAGGAAGCAATGCAAATTTTGTACAGGAATAGACAAATCTCAGATACAGGTGTTGGAATGTTCCAAGCTGCTAAAACGGTATAAATTCATGTGTTTAGGCAATGAGTAGAAGTACTGCTATTGAACGTTCAGTAGGATCCAGCGATTCCCATATCTTTCCGTCACGTATTTTAATAATAACAGATTTAGTGCTGTAGAACTCACTACAAATTCAAACATCAATATGGTTGTGAACAACAGTATCACAAAGTATCTGTATATCAGTTTGCATTTCTACTTTGGTGTTGTGACCATCATAACTAAGTATACTACTGAGCATGAGTAACAGACAATGTACATTCATGTACATATGATACATAGTTTACTGCATAGTCAAATCAAACTCAATTTTAAAACCAAGACCACGAACTACGTAAAAATCCAACTAATCTCATCCCGTCCTTTAAATATTCTTAAAATCAATTTTCTAGCAAAATTGAAATATTCATACCACTCTCCACTGTAGAATAACGAAAGTTCGTTTGATAAATGCTGCTCGAAATTACCTAATTACAAAATATATTGAAGAACAGTGAGTGAACATTTCATCGAATGAAATAAAACTTGTGCAGAAATCTATTTCAATTCAGAATTAACTATTACAAGTCACCTGTTCATAACAGTTCGCCATCGTCATACATTTCATTACAGGCAGACTCAAACATAAACCATCCACACTCTGTTTCAACTCACTCGAGCAAAGTAAAATACCAGTTGGCTCACTAAACAGTCTACACACAGTAAAAGTTATCAATATCCATTACTTGAAAACACGTTCGAATCATATGAACAGACTAAAATGAAATACATGCACAAAACAAACATTCCAGTAGACTAAAAGAAACCGAAGGAGCTATGTTCTGAATAACAATACATGGTACTGCCGAACATTACAGAATAGTAACAATAATAGTAATAATAACAATATTAATGATGATAATAATAGTAACAGATAGAAATCGCTTCTATTCGTAAACAGATTAGATTAAGAAACAGTATGATTCATAGCTTAAAAAAATCTACCAAAACAAGTAGGTAGCATAATATACGTTGATGAGAAAGTTCAGCAATAACATTCTGTCCATACACCTCGGTAGAATAAGATTTATGTGAAGATCATTTGGACCATTTAACCACCTTCCTTTCGTAGACGAATTGATTATTCGGTTCTTTTGAGTCAATCGGTAATGTGGCCAAATAGAACGGTGTATCAGCACCTAAAAGCGTCAAGAGTAATACAACATTTTACCTAAATGATCAGTTACAAAGACTCATGAGTGATGTAGTTTTCATAACCACCCTATTCACTGCGGTGAAACTAATTAGATATGAAGTTCTTACTGACATACATCGGCTGATAAAGGAGTAGTACACATTTTCGAAGAAAATCGATTGCTCGAATAATCAGAGATAACATTGGAATTACATAAGTTTATATATATAAGTATAAGTTTACATCACTACTACCTGAATAAATTTATCACATCCACTATGAAATCTGATCTCATACTTGACCCTAGCCTATAAAATTGTAGTCTCCTCTGTTCAAGTGATTTTATCAATGAAATGTAGAGATGAAACGACTTTAATATGTGGTGACTTCCAAAGTATGGCTTCAAAAAAACCGGACCAATATCAAATAAGGGTTCATTTTAGAATATTAAAGATTCCCGTTGTGAAAATTAGAACAACATATGTAAGCGAACAATTGTTTTCTATTAGATCGTCATCAGGCTTTACTCTAATATACATGAATATTTATATGAAAATGTTAAACCAATCAAGGCTATTTGAGTCAATAATCACAATGAAATAGAATACGTTACCAAGCCTAATAATAGTTAAAAGTACAAGTTGATAGTGGGAAGACAGGTGTACTGATAGTAGTAAGAATAGTAAATTACGATAACAAAAGTCTTATCAATAATTAAAAATAAAAATTAAGAGGTCAAACGTGGATAAACAGACTGGGATAGTAATCACAAAGCATTGAAACCATTACGTAATAAGAAGTATGTAAGTAAATAGATAGTGAAGAATACAAACGCAAAGAGGTAGAAAATTACTAAAAATGATAACCAAATTAAGATAATAAAAATAAAATTTTACAAATACTAATAATGTCATTTATTAAGTTATGTCCGGCCATGGAAGGGATAGGGGGGTTAGGAATTTCTTCTATACACATAAATTGGGATGGAATGTACGAATTCCTATGGCTTCTGCCATATGAAGTAGACGGGAGCGAACTCAACTTAACCAACGAATGAGTGAACATCTACAAGCATGGTTTGGAAAGGGCCAAATAAAAACAATAAGCAGTTTTATCTTGGCACATCTAATTGATAGTGGTCATATTGTTGATAAATTGAAATCATTTCAAGTGATCTATCGTATACCTCCATCATTTCCCAACGGAGTCCCGTCTACTTCATATAGCAGAAGCCATAGGAATTCGTACATTCCATCCCAATTTATGTGTATAGAAGAAATTCCTAACCCCCCTATCCCTTCCATGGCCGGACATAACTTAATAAATGACATTATTAGTATTTGTAAAATTTTATTTTTATTATCTTAATTTGGTTATCATTTTTAGTAATTTTCTACCTCTTTGCGTTTGTATTCTTCACTATCTATTTACTTACATACTTCTTATTACGTAAGGGTTCATTTGACAATCAACAGGTATCCGATTACAATGACCACGTACTTCATGCCTAAAGTTCGATGGAATATCCAGGTTCCATGAAAAATCTTGAAAGCAATCTCACAACACAAAATAAATAAATTCTTTATCAATTTCGACTAAAGATCAAGGAATATTTAAAGGATGTAATTAAAAACCGAAAACAATTTTTTTCTTAACGCATTCTACTGCATTTGTTTTAGTGCTCATTTTCCCTTCATATTACGGTCAAACATCACCTTTGATAGTTGAAACCCAAATGTTAGACAATAATACACTGTCTTGATGTTCAGCTGTTCCCAAATTCAACAAAATAGTGGTCAAATGATCCCATCAAAATAACTGACTTATCAGATAAAATACATGGATATAGACTCACCTTCATCCGTTGTCTTTACTCCTTTATGGTCAGTCATATCAGTGTCAACAAAACCAGGACAACACTGTCAAAATGATGAAAATGAAAAGATAAATTAATGGAATCCAATGGAACAAAACTATTAAATGATATGTGAAAATTAAAACCATTCACCCACAAACAATCACAAACTCTCAAATCATCACTTTAACAATACCATTCACCAAATTAATTACTATTAGCCTATGACAAACGAGACAATTATCTTTCCTAGACACTGACTAAACTATTATAACAAATACAAATCAATTTCATGGTATCCTGAACGACCTCGATTAGTTCAGTTGAATTATGGATTGAATATTTCTAAGAGACAGTAGTTTGTTAGACAATGGAGCAGTGTGATGAGTGACATTCCTAATATGGCTTCATATAGTATAGAATAATATTTCAACAACCCCTGACTGTCATAGCAGTCAAAATCACGTATATATATATATATATATATATATATATATATATAGTCACACTCATCCAGTAATAATGTACTTATTTCAGAGATGTTGAGATGCCGAAGACATTTGTGGTGAAACTTGCTTCTAAAAGAGCAGTATGGTAAACAAATTAAAGATAGTTTCGGTGTGAAGAAACGATAATTATTAGTATCCAAATAACAGTGCATAGCGCTCGATTGAAGATTTCACTCATTATATGAGCGAATACCTGACATTTCAGTTTACTTTTCAGAATGAGTTACTTGAAGTATAATGATAAATGTATATGAATATTCGTTAATATTAGAACAAATAGTGTTACAGAAATTTGTCGCCGAGTATATAAAAGACATTATATGCAAAAATTATATTTGAGGTAATTTAAGCGATTGAAATTTAAATAATTTCAGAGAAGTTTGCTGGACGAAGCGTTGGAAATATTTAAATCTCAATCACCGAGATTATTTCAAATATATAATGATAAATGATACTATAAAAGTAACCATACAGTAATACTTTGGTCATCTCAGCATAATTTCGAAGGAAGTGAACTAAAATAACTGTGCTTCTCAAGCATTTCAATCAACCACACCTAAATTTTAATCAACATAATTATTCCTGAAAACAAAGTTACTTTCATTCCTTTAAACCCGAAAGCATATACCACACCAAGTATCTTACGGCTTAGAATTTTTCAAGTTAATAACAATCGTATATCAATAATGTGTTGTGTACTACATTTAGCATGTATCAGGACTTTAAAGTAAAATTATTACGGACAGAAGGGGAAAACAAAGAAAAGAGAAACAGAAAACAATCGAAATACCAAAAGTCATGAGAGAACGATGGAGTTTGTATGGAACAACTCAAGGAATATGGGTAAATAGTGCATTTTCATATTTTACAAATAAACTGTGTGATCCTGCATAAGACAAACATTTTGTTCACCATCCAAGAATTTGTTAATTATGATAGGGCTAACAGACAGTTCCTGTATAATTCTTTCTGACACTTCAGTGCAACAACATAATCTGGTTGAGTGAACGCAGTATGAAAGGAGTGGTTAACGGGAAACAGACTTCAATACTTGCTGTACAACAAAAGACATATGTCCAACTTTATAACATGAAACAACAAAAAAGTCGTTTATTCATTATGTACAAAATATACGTACATCGGACTACAACTCCGTGCACACATCTAACTGTTACAACAAATACTACTCTTATTTTCGTTATAAGCCTAATCCTACAGTAAAAACGATTTGTATAACAATAAACACAAATCATCACAATATCGACAAAAAAACTAACTGAATTTATCACGATCCGTCTTGGATCATCTTTCAGCATTTCACCGAAAATAAACGAAGCCTTTGTAACACCTATTTTAGATACCGTATACGCACTTGACACCCAACCTTTTTCAGAATAAGTACCATCTTCAGCAGACCTAATAAAAAATTCGAATTAAAAGCAATTACATTTGAGATAAACAGAAAGAAATATATGCTACACGAAACCTCAAACTCCTGAAGTTTCACAAATCTGAAACTAACCATACCAGCAAACAAATTCACAAACGAAGTGTACGAACGCGACACGGACTATTGCCCTCCAAATTTCAGACATATGACTAAAAACATTTTGTGTAGAAAAGACACCTCGCAAATTAACTAATAACGTTCCGAAAAGTTTAATAAAGTCGGAAAACTTGTAGAAAATACATTTCGCAACAACAATCAGTTCCAATTATAAAATTATGGGATCAAAACAAACCATTTATAGTACACAACACCAACCTCAATGCAAAAAATTATTTACTTTACAAACTCCGTCATGAGTTCTTTTAGTTCAAAAAGATTCATTTGGCCGACAAATTTTTCATACAGATCATCGCTAAGCTTCAACAGATTGAACAAAGAAAGAGAAGAAGATACATTGACGACTCTAAGCTGTAAGAACTAATTCTTCTAACCCACCTGGCATTTTCAGCTAGTAAGGGAATGAACTCTTCAGTGAAATCGATAGTCGAAGTGAAGTTAGTGTTAACAGTGACTCGTGCTTGCTCGCCAAATGATTCTGGAGAGTCAGCCTATAATGATATATGAGATTTCATGAACAAACGCAACTTTAAAGGCAATCCCAGCATTATTTACTGCAATGTTGATTCCATTAGGATAGTTTGTCTCTATGAATGTCAGGAACGCTTTTCGACTATTTCGATCCGTTATATCTAGTTGATGGAATTTAACATCCAAACCATTGTTACTGAGCTTCTCCACAGCTTCCTGACCAAGCTCAACATCTCGAGCTGTTAAATTATGAACTAAAAACTTCTCACCTGTTAGATAAATATCCCACTCTCCTGATGCTCCGTAAAATTCTGCAAGTTTTTCAACAATGCTAAATCCAATGCCTTTGTTTGACCCAGTTACCTAAAGTGAAGTAGTATATTGTTTGTAAGATGAGTAAACTCATCACACGAATGCCAGTTTCATGATCGCACCGAAATACTGAAAAAATACCGCCGTGTACTAAACCGGGTGACTAGCAAACGCACTGAATGAGAAATAAATCTATTGAGAGATATCTTGAGAATTTATTAGGACAATATCTGAACATTTTATACGCCCACTCTAATTGAATCTCAACTACCAATCATAATGATTCTTGCAATCTGTACTTTTCTAGTAATTGAGATAGAATTCTGATTCGAAGAAAATATGGAATCATTAACGAAAAAGCTAGGATGAACAATGAGACACTACCAACAGTCCTGTTATTCGTTAACCAATAATTTGCTAGTGATAAGTAGAGTGTCCTTATTGAGTGAATTGACTCCAATGGTCACTTAAATAACATAAACTTAGTGCATAATGGTGTAATTATTGGTTCAAATGAAATGCTCTCATTTTTGGATACTTCTGAGCTCTGAGGTTTTACAACATAGAAACGCGTTTCTATGCTTTTGCTCCAGACATTATTCTATTTAAGTGACTTCTCCAAAGAAGCCGAGATTACTTCTGTTTAAATAATTGGATCAAATGGAGGCATTGGATATAGAATTGTTGAAAAACTTGCAGAATTTTAAGGGACATCAGGAGAGTGGGATATTTATCTAACGGGTGAAAAGTTGTTAGTTTATAATTCAACAGCTCGAAATGTTGAGCTTGGTTAGGAAGCTGTGGAGAAGCCAAGTAACAATGGTTTGTATGTTAAATTCCACCAACTGGATATAACGGAACTTTACCTGTGGCTCTTCAATGGTTACTGCCGATCCCAAACCCGGGTAACGGAGGATGGCCAGGCATACGGTCAGCAATCCCATCCCCTTGAAAACAACATTGCTAAAAAACGCTAACCAGAAGAAAAAAATAAACCACATAAACTCTGCCCTTCTAGTTGAAAAAAATTTATAATACCTATTGATGAAAACCTAGATTCTTCGTAAGTCACGAGGCCGATGCCCCTTCTAACAACCAGAACAACAATTTTATAGGTATGTTGAATGTCCGGAAAATGTAGGAGACCAGAAGGACTAGTCCAATAGCTACAGAAACAAAGAGATTCAACTTATCCGTGCTTGTAGCTGGTGAAACCCACAATATTCCCACACAAACGCATGCACAAAACTGTATGGGTTTAACTGGATAACACTACCGAATTGATCATATTTGTATCAGCGAATGGAAATCTTCACTATTCATCGGATTCCTTGACTATGAGAAGTTGTTTGACCGCGTGGATGGGAGAACTTTATGGAACCTTCTTCGACACTATGGAGTGAGTGGCTAGGAAAGTCATCAACATCATCAGGAATTCATACGACGAACTACACTGCAAAGTCGTGCATGGAGGACAGATAACAGGCGCATTCCAATTGGGGACAGTAGTCAAACAAGGCTGCCTACTCTCCCCCTTTCTCTTTCTTCTAGTGGTTGATAGGATTATGAAAACCTCTACATCTAAGGGAAAGGACGGAATATAATGGACAGCTTGAAATCAATTGGAAGATTTGGATTCACAGATGATCTGTCTTTTTTATCCCACACACACGAACAAATGTAGATCAAGATAACTAGTGTATCGGAAGCCTCTGAATCAGTTGGCCTCAACATACAGTAGAAAAAGCAATATCCTCGAATACAACACAGAGAACACCAACCCAGTCCCAACTGATGGATAAACTCTTGAAGAGGCGGAAACTTTCACATATCTGGGTAGCACCATCAATGAACGTTAAGGATCCGATAAAGATTTGAAGGCAAGAACTGGCAAAGCAACAATCGCATTCCTAAAGTTGAACAATATATGGAACTCAAAAAAACTATCAACCAATATCAAATTCAGAATCTTCAATACGAACGTCAAGACAGTTCTGTTGTACGGAGCTGAAACATAGAGAACTACCAAAACCATCATCAAAAAGGTATAAGTATTTGTAAACAATTTTCAACGTAAGACACTGAATGTCCGTTGGTCAGATACCATCAGCAAAAGCTCACTGTGGGAGAGAATAAACCAGCTTCCATCTGAGGAGGAAATTAGGAAAAGACTTTTGAGGTGGAGAGGACAAATATTGAGAAAATCACCAAATTGCATCATGAAGCAAAGAGTTAACTTGGAATCCTGAAGGGAAATGGAAAAGAGGAAGGCCGAAGAACACATTACACCGGAAATAGGAAGCGGACATGAATAGGATGAATAGCAACTGGAAAGGATTGCCCGGGATTGAGTTGTAGGGAAAATGCTGGTAGCGGTCCATTCTCCTTCACGAGGGGTGACAGACCTAAGTAAGTAAGATATAACGGATCAAGATAGTTGAAAATTGGTGCAACCTATGTAGCTAGGCCTTATTTTAAAAATTTGCCGGTTTCATGAATATTTAGCAATTATGTTAGTTCTATTTGTAATTATATGATAAACACATTTTTTTCCAGTTCACATCAATAAATGAATTTCTTGTTGATCACTATAAATTATTTTCCTCCTACTTAACATTTTCACTTGTTTTGAGCTGATATAATATGGAGTGATGAATCACATGCACATATATCTACTCTCAACTACTCGCCACAATCTACCACGGTCTGAGAAACGTGATTATCATTTCTAGTCTTTACTTAACGAGGTGACTTGTAAGTGATTGATGTGTTATATCATGCGATTTATAAAATTTTTAGATGTCTGTATAATATTCATTCTGTATAATGAGACAAAAGTTTGAACAGTGTCTTAGTCAAATAAAACCATTAAATATAATTGCAGTTATATTTAGAACCCAGAGTTTGTTGCTGTAATCTTACGCAATCAACTTAATTTGACAGGTTAACGTCTTTGTAACTGGCTATTCAATACCATCGTTTTAACAACTATTGTTTGAACGTATACCACTCATTTATTTCACTCAACTCTAAAATGACTGCTTTTAAAATTTCTGCTCTTCGTTTGTAGTTTGCTCAAGTGACATCGCTGACCATATACAACTCAGATGCTAATTTTCAAAGTTTATCAGGTAAAGCAGCTAATCTGGCTTGCCAATGATATCTTCCTATCTAAATTTAGTGGATATGAATATAAACATCATATCCTGTGTATACGTTATAGCTTCAAAACCAACTCAACTAAAATGGCTTGAACAAAGAGATCTCATTAAAAATCAAGGAAGAGAAGCTTTGAGATCATGATGATGCATTTTAAAATGAATGGTCTCTGTTGGATATCTGTCATTGAATTATAACAACATAATTATGTTGAGAGCAACGTTTCAATCCTTGACATTGTTGAATGGAATTTGAACTAGTCACTCACGGTTCCAATGTAGTTTCCTTCCAATTTCACAAAAATGCGATCTAAAGTAAAAGTAAATTTTAATATATGGAAACGGATTTTTAAATGTCTACATAATCTTCGTATTTGTATCCTAAAAATGTACATTCATTTTTCATAAAAATGTTTATAAGATGTAAGTTCAGTTACTATTCGTAGGGCCGAGATTCCTATAGTAAATAAGTAATAAAGTAGGCATTTCTGTACATTATGTACTCAAGTTGTATACTATGTGACAAAATAACGTCTTAAATATTCACTGCTGCCGTTCACTGATTTTAACGCAATCGAGTGTCTTAGTAATATCATAAATGTTTTTTGCAAGGACAATGTGCATGATTGATTCAGCAAACATTGTATTTGGAAATATGCACCATCGATTGAGAATTCGGATTTGAGAAGTAATATCGAACTTTTTTTCGAACTTATTAAGTTACAAGATACCAGTAACAACTTATAAGACCTACAATGGACACATAAAGTGTTTTGCAAATCCCTAAGAGAATGACAGTTATCTGTATTTTTCTTGAACTTCTCCATATTGTACTTAGTCTGTACAGTTGAAATGATATGATAAATAATGATGAGAGATTTAATGCTGGAAAGTTTTAACAAATTCTCACGTTTGATTTGGTCCCAAAAACAGACGTACAGGAAGTTTGTACGTGAAGCAATTATTCATACAAGGAATTCGGTATAATCAACTGACACAATAAAAATGTAAACCATCTCATTAAAACATATGGATGATATGTTAATTGGTTAACTCCTTCAATTACTATTTATTACGTAATTATTCCGGAAAAGACGTGAGAGCTACGATTTCGCGTGAAGTGAAAACTTGATTATTTTGAATAGAAATCATTCGTGTTGATTTAGTGTTGCCTGACTTTTATCTTTAAGAATAAAGTGATACATGGCTTCCTACACAGTAATCCACTAGTTGTTAATAATAACTGGTGTCAGAAGCTAGTTAACATTTTAAATAATATATGCATTTCGACAAACAGTTGACTATAATGAATTGTTCAACAAATTATTTCTGATATCAATTATCGTTAGATTTTACATGAAATTGGTTCGGGTATACATAAATATTAAACACTGGTTTACATTATGTTGTGTGTTGATTCGATAATCATGAGAAATCTATAATTCAGGTCAATTATCTCCTATATGTCAATTAACTGATTAATTATAAGGTCATATTCTCACAAAGCAATCACTAATAACTAAATTATGAGTGATTGAAATCGAATGATAAATGTATAAATCAATATTACCTCTGAACAACTAGGTTCATAGTGGCTGTTTTGTATATATTGCTGAATGTATCTTTGAATTTTTAGCATTTGTACTTTTCAGTTTGTTTGTGTGCAACAAGAATGACTGAGAGCATTCAGTATATTTTTTTAATTGTTAGACTATCTCACATCTGATTTAAGTTTGGTTATTCATTGTGTCAACTTGAAACATAATTCACAAATGCTTCACATGTTTGGGTTTATTTAGTTAAGTCCTCAATTGCTTTTAGTATTCCACGAACAGGTCTAAGAAATAACCATGAATCAGGTGACTATATGTTCTATTACAATGAGTTAAAAAGTGCTAGGAGCAGATAACTGATCAGCCTTTTGTGTGTATTCGCCTAGTTAGAACTACTATTTCA